ACGAGGGCGGGCCCCGCCGGGGGGCCGAGCCCCTTCGACGGGAACGCCCTCGGCCCCGCGGGGCTGCCCGCCCGAGGAGGGGAGGAGCGGGGCCGGCGGGCAGGAAAAGAAGAAGGGAAGGGGAAAAAGAAAAAGGAGTGACTCTGGCGCAAGGTGGCCGGACGGGCGCGGAGTTTTGGAGAGGGGTTGGCGGCTCCGGGCGGGAAACGGCGGCCCGTTTTCCTTCAGTCGAAGAAGGAGGGAAAACCTTCCCTCACGCCTGGGAATTTGAGGAGGAGACCTCCCGCGCCTTCAGTCACGGCAAGGGGTGTCCGCGGGAACCAGGAAAATTAAAAAGTCTAATGTGCCCGCGTATTAATTAGGTCAACCGACGGCGCCGTCCCGCGTGCCATTGAGCACCCGGACCTGGGTTCAAATGCTTCCTCGGTCAAAAAAAAGCAGCCGAGGGGCTGGCCTTGAAAGCCTTTCCTCGCTCCCCCTCACTCGGCTTCGCATTGGGTTCTTGTGGGGGAGACGGAAGGGTGACAACACTTCTCTTCCCCCCCCCCCAAACATTGCTTTAAAGCTATTGTTTCAGTTGGGGGGGTGGCTCTCCAGATGTTGGACTCCACCTCCCATCACGCTGGCTGATGGGAACTGCAGTCCAAAAATGTTCAGGAGGGCTCCATGGTCACTATCTGGTACAATGGGATTTTAAAATATTTTCGCTCTAGAGGACCTTAAAACGTGCCCAGGATTGTGCAATGTTAATTGGACTAATTAATGTATTACCCAACTCGAGTAACTGGCTGTTAACTTCTGTTTTTTATTGTCACTAGAAACTGCCAAACAAGTGGCACAGGTTTCCAAAAAAATAAAAGTTTGCCAGGCTGCATAAGTTAGCAGAGCCCGTTCTGGATAATTCAGTGAGTTAGGTATGATTACTTTTTGGACTAATAAGGGTGTAAAGAAATTACGTTTTAGAAGCAACAGCAGGAATCCTATTGATGTTTGAGTAAGGCTTGGGTTAATTTGATGCAGCTAAGTGAGGCTAATTGTTAAGCTGCTGGGATGCATCAGGGTGTTGTGCCGGGTCACACACCTGATTGCACAATCGAGATGCACTCCACAACCTCAGCAATTAGCTGCAGCAAATTGTTCAAACAGGAGTAGAAATCTGGCCACTGAATCAAGCAGGAATTAAATCACTTCACTGGAAGAATGATAATGTTATCTGTTTCCATCAGTTAACCACTTCTCAACCAAACACGCAATTGGCAGGTCTGGGTTTTTTTTTTTTTTAAAGTATAATACTTTTGATTAGGCACACGCATACACAGCAGAGGACTGCACAACTGCTCCAACAGCTGAAAAGTTACCACTATGTGACAGGTGTTCAATTCTTCAAACAAACAAACAAAGCTCCCGTTTATGAAAGTGGGATATTGTGCTTCTGTATCCACAATTCAAAATGCCAGGAAATGGCCTCATACAGTTTCTTGTTCCTGCATGGGGGATGGTAGTGGTCAAATAGTTGTACTTTTAAAAAAAATCATAACTCGAAAACCGTTTGCCCAAACTTCCCCAAATGTGGCACAAAGCGAGAGCACACTGTTATATCTGTGCCAAATCTGATGCTGATCCAAAGTCCAATTCTAAGGTGATAATTATTTGTTTGGGCTGCCCCCAGTTTTAGAATTCTCATGTGGAATGCTGATTTATTGTGCTGCACAATAACATGTGCATTCTCGTGCGGTGATAAATAATCGTGTGCTGTGAAGTCAATTCTGACTTAAGGTAACCCTTTCCAGAATAGAATACTCAGAAGTAGTTTGCTTGCACTTCCCTTTTTGGAACTACTACTCCAGCTACTCTGGAACTAGGGTGTTGTGCCGGGTCACACACCTGATTGCACAATCGAGATGCACTCCACAACCTCAGCAATTAGCTGCAGCAAATTGTTCAAACAGGAGTAGAAATCTGGCCACTGAATCAAGCAGGAATTAAATCACTTCACTGGAAGAATGATAATGTTATCTGTTTCCATCAGTTAACCACTTCTCAACCAAACACAGAGCAATTGTCAGGTCTGGGTTTTTTTTTTTTTTAAAGTATAATACTTTTGATTAGGCACACGCATACACAGCAGAGGACTGCACAACTGCTCCAACAGCTGAAAAGTTACCACTATGTGACAGGTGTTCAATTCTTCAAACAAACAAACAAAGCTCCCGTTTATGAAAGTGGGATATTGTGCTTCTGTATCCACAATTCAAAATGCCAGGAAATGGCCTCATACAGTTTCTTGTTCCTGCATGGGGGATGGTAGTGGTCAAATAGTTGTACTTTTAAAAAAAATCATAACTCGAAAACCGTTTGCCCAAACTTCCCCAAATGTGGCACAAAGCGAGAGCACACTGTTATATCTGTGCCAAATCTGATGCTGATCCAAAGTCCAATTCTAAGGTGATAATTATTTGTTTGGGCTGCCCCCAGTTTTAGAATTCTCATGTGGAATGCTGATTTATTGTGCTGCACAATAACATGTGCATTCTCGTGCGGTGATAAATAATCGTGTGCTGTGAAGTCAATTCTGACTTAAGGTAACCCTTTCCAGAATAGAATACTCAGAAGTAGTTTGCTTGCACTTCCCTTTTTGGAACTACTACTCCAGCTACTCTGGAACTATGTAGCTTACCCAAGGCTACATAGGCTGGCTCTTCTCCTACAAGGTACAGTGGGGAATAGAATTCCTGGTTCCACAACCAGGAACTCCAGCCCACTGAACTCTCTTGCTAGCATGACTTGGGCATCAGAAGTACTAGCCAACTTTTAAGCAAAATATTTATTCAGGTTCCAAATGTCTCTAGGAACCTAACTGAGGCTGCATCATGGTTAGTTTCCATATCCAGCAAAACTTTGATATTTCACTTTGTAGTCTGAAAAAGGCCTCAGGCTTTTTTCTAACACCAATTATTATTAAATAAATGAACATTACTTTTCCCACTGCTGCAAACCACAGATTATAGAGGGAGAACTTTTAAATGTGCCTTTTAGGATATGCAGTAACTTGTTCCTGTGTGTGTTGCACCACAAGCATGACCAGGATGCAAACTGGGAAAATCCAGTACAACTATATGATTTACAATGACTGATCCTGTTGGAGAGAATCTAGGACCTTGATATCACATGGGTTGTAAAGAAACAAAGGAGATAAACTTTCCAGCTATCCAACTTGCCACAGCTAGGGCAACATCTTGGAGATGTTAATTGTTTGGATGTTTGCTCTCTGTATTTCACAGCTAGCATGGATTATGGCCACACTCGCTATAGTATTCTGAGAGACATGTTCCAAAAACAAACAAACAAACATTTCCAGTCTCTGTCTAGGGCCTGAGATCACACAAGCCCAATGTTGCCTCCCCATCTCCCATTCAATGCATATCCTAAATTTGCAGTCACACGATGCAGGGCCATTATCAAGTCATTTACCAGGCAAGCATGCTAACTGCAGATCATTTCTCGCTTGGCCATTTAAAATGTTATATTTTTTTTAAAAAATCCACTGTGTTTGTGTTGGTACATCAGTTAACTTCTGTCAAACTGTCTCAAAAAGAAGCTCTAAGCACTTATTGAATAGGATCTTCAGTGGCGGGGGGAATGCTCTATTGGCTGCAGTGCATTGTTTTCTAAGACACTGGGGACATTGAAAAAATTAAACCCATCATATTTATTCTTGGATGTGCATCCCAATGTGTTTTTGGCTTACCAGATCATTTGGTGCCAGATCATTTTTCATCTTGGGCGCTGCAACCCCATTATTTCTGATAGATAGATAGATAGATAGATAGATAGATAGATAGATAGATAGATAGATAGATAGATAGATAGATAGATAGATAGATAGATAGATAGATAGATAGAAAGAAGATGCCAGCCACAGAGACTGGCGAAACGTCAGGAAGAACAACCTTCAGAACACGGCCAAAGAGCCCGAAAAACCCAGAACAACCATGATTGATTGATTGATTGATTGATTGATTGATTGATTGATTGATTGATTCTGCAAGGTGCAGTAAAAACAGTAACATTGGCTCTGCTTGGAGCACTCCTGCCTTGCCAGGAAATATGAGCCCTCAACCTTAGAAGGCACTCAACGCTGGAGGCATATCTAAAGTGTGGGTGCAGACATAAACAGGCCATGTGCTTTTAGGGGGGAAATGAGGTTGGATTCATGTTCTCCTGCTGTGAAAATGGGTAGGAAGACCTTTCCTACTCTTTCATTGAGAATTGCCATGAAGCCAGAAGCACTGTAATTAAAATGTCCGACTTGGACAAACATTGTGGCTGAAGGCAAAACAAGCAAACCTAAAATTAAAGGATTGTAGCTATAAAGTGTTGACATACCCCGAGTTGCAGTGGCATTCCATTCCTCTCCCAACTGGCCTCGTTTGCTCTGTCGGTCTATTTCAGCATGAATCGCTTCTCAAGGGACCAGACCGGCTGACTCTTTGTTTTCAAGGGGCTTTCATGTATTGTGCGAGAACAGAGTTTGAAAAA